CCAATCCATCCCTGCCCCTCCCCCTTCCCGCTTTGCATCCGTACCCTCCTCCTCCGACGCCGTCGATATACCTCTCCCGGTACACATGCATTGTCGGACCTCCGCAACCAGCACTGACGCGCCCACTCACCTTTTACAACGGCGACGTCAACCCTGGACCCGTCCGTAGGCAGGTACACTCCGCCCCTGTCGACGTCATCCATGGCGGTCACCACGAGGTGCTTGTAAAATGCCATTGAGCTTATTTTCGAATGCCATGTTATTTTTTAGTACAAATGATGACGGGGTACTCGACCATGGAGGATGAGTTGTTGCGCGATGCGTGGTTGGTCCTATCCACGAATTTCGTAGGCAAGGGCAGAGCGGGTTCCTTCTGGCAGCGCGTGCATGATTCGTTTCACGCGCCAAAGCATATTGCACATACGACATGCAGATCATCCAACAATGCAATGTGAGGTCGTTGATGTATCAATGGTACGCCATTCACACCTCCATCGCCAAATAGGTGGCCATTACGCGCAACAGAGGTGGAGACTGTAAGTTTTGCTTCTTTTTGCTCAACTTGTCGATTGAATCATTTATTTCACTCAATGTTGTTCTACACATTATGTAGCCCGTACGTGCTGCCGTGATATACCACGGGATAGAGCGACGAACTTTTACGTGCATACACTATTGGATGAAGGTGAGGGGCAGTAGGTGTGGGACGACAGGATCCGTTCATGAAAAACTTATTGCACATCCGGTTAATCTCGTTGAATTTAAACTATTGTTGTACTAGACTTATTTGCATGCTATGTATTAATATTTGTGTCATTTTTTTCTATCTAAACTTTGATGAAATCGGTTTTGTTTGCATGAATTTTGTCCGGTTAGTTCAAACAGTGGTTGAAATATATGCGGATACCGTTGGATGGTCGTCTCCCGCATCTGTGTCCGTTAACTGGTTCCCTCTATCCACGGATGAATGCCAGAGCAAATTTGCGCGGGACATGCCCTTAAACAGTCCATGAACAATATTTGTCTATCTTAAATTCGTCATTAGATTGTTTATGTGCTTGTCAAATGTCAACCACTAATTTAGGTTGTTGCGGCTCAACTAAATCCATTTCTGAAGAATCTTCACCTCTTTGTTGTCTAGATAGGACAAGCGCAAATTTTCCTCTTGATTCTTGATTGATGTGCTTCGGCAAGGAAGGTCGTGCTCTGCTTGCCGCAGACAATCATGTTAGAATATATAACCGTATTGTATTTGTATAGATATACGGTTGTATATGTGTAGTCCTTGTACAGATGTCCGTGTATAACACGGTATGAACTCTGGCTTGTAACCTCTATATAATGATCAATACAAGGCATCACAACGTGTGGTTTCCCCTATCTTACATGGTATCACGCCTAAAACCCTAACCTGCGTCACCCTCCTCCTTCCGCCGCCACCGAAGCCACAACTCCTCCCACCACCGCCTCCATGTCGCAACCCGACGTGGACGCGATGAACAAGGTGTTGGCCGCGGCCAAGGAGCGCCAGGACGCCAAGGCCGAGGCCGCCAAGGCCAAACTGCCTCTCGCGACCGCCGCTGATGGATCCGGGACGAGCGCGGGGTCCTTCTCCCTGACCTCGTGTAACACCCATGATGTGGCTATATCTCACACGTGTCGAAGCACGACTTAGAGGCATAACCGCATTGTAAGCAATGTCGCAAGTGGAGTAATCTTCACACAACCCACATAATCGCCACATCACACAATAGCATAAATATAACATTACAATCATCCAGGTACAATCAAGGTCCGACTACGGAACCAAAATAAAGACAACCCCAAATGCATAATGTCTCCGATCGACCCAACTGGGCTCCACTACTGATCGTCTGGAAAGGAAACGTAGTATCATCCTGAGTCCTCATCGAACTCCCACTTGAGCTCAGTCGAATCTCCTGGAGCGGTATCATCGGTCCCTGCATATGGTTTTGGAAGTAATATGTGAGTCACGGGGACTCAGCAATCTCACACTCACGCGATCAAGACCATTTAAGCGTATAGGTAGGGAAAATGTATGAGGTGGAGCTGCATCAAGCACTAGCATATATGGTGGCTAACATACGCAAATGAGAGCGAGAAGAGAAGGCAAAGCACGTTCGAGAATGTATGATCA